TGGAAACCCAAAATCTCTGTAAATGTTTATGAAAATTAATAAAATATAATTATAGAAAAAAAAACACGCTGAATCAAGGTGAATGGAAAATTATCTCAAGAAACAGAATTTTGGGAAAAAATGTGAATGGGGGAAGGGAGCACAAAGGAGTAAAATGTGAAACATTGAATGAAAATCAAACTTCTCTGTAAATGCTCATTAAAATAACAATTGAAATAAAATTTTATGTAAAATAAAAATCTGCTGGTGAGATGGGTATGCTTCCTCATCTCCCTGGAAGTGGACTTTTTTTTCATGCAGAGATTAGTATGTCAGAGACGCTGAGGGAGGCACAGGCTAGGACAGTATCCAGAGCGGTTGTTCATGGGGAAGCTGTGAGTGGCTGGACTTGATGACACCTAACACCCACCACCACCCTCCCAAGGTACTTGCTTCCATGGGGTCTCAGCTCCAAGTGGTCAGCTCTTGGTCTAAAGTGTGTGCTCTGGGCACAGCCCTGCGTTCCTCAGTTGGCAATGACCTCAGCCTGGACAGCGCAGCTTGACTTGGGCCCTCTGATGATCGTCAGTGGCCCCTGGATTGTGGATTGTTTTTGCTCTTGGGAAATCAGTTACTTACACACGGATGAAGGTGTTCTTTGCTGTCACCCAAGGGAAGGGCTTTCCGTCTCACTCACAGTGTCTCCGTCACCAGATGTTCTTGCTGAAGTGTCATGCAGAAAACTAGAACAATCCACCCTCTTTAGGAAGGACGACTCCACTATTCCCAGCCGCAGATCAGAGGGGTTCGAAGGGCTGCTACGCCCTTGGTGCACCATCTCCCGTTGGAGCCGGACTGTGTGTGGTGGGTTCACTCTGCCCTCATGGGCAAACACAGACATTACCCAGCCAGGCGGGAATGGCTGCCCAGAAATGGGCAAGTCTAGATTCTACGAGGCTCGCCCTCTGGAGGCCTAGACTGTAACTGGGCACCACTGATTTCAAACAGCCTGTCCTGTGGTAGCCACATACACACGTGGACGGGATCTGCAGTGCACAGGGCGGCCTCCTCCGTGGGCCAAGTCTGGTCTCCCCTTGGGCCATCAGCTTTGGGCCCCGGCCACACGGCAGCGAGGGGTTCCAGAAACCTTGTTGTCGGTCTCCAGGGCTGTTTGTGAGCTCACCCCAAGCAACCTCAGCTCCCCCCCCCACCCCCCGCATGGTGGTGAGGCCTCCTGGCTGCCCATGAACGTTCTGGGGTGTTTCTCCTCTCTCCTGAGGTCTGTGCACCCCACTGTCTGTGCTGTGAACACCGTCTGCCCTAAGGAGGAATGTTCTGGACTAAAGCGCTCTGTGCCCCTGAGCAGACCAGAAGGACGTGAAGAGCAGGCTCTCAACTCTGGAGCTGCGACTGCAGACCAAGTGGTCACCCGAGGGCCACCTTCAGAGACACTCCCTGGGATAAAGGCCTTGGCCCCTGCAGACGCCCGCTCAGCCCGGAGTGGTACTCAGCTACCGGGCTCTCGGAGGACAAGCCATAGGCGACGAGCCACAGGCCTGGGCTTTGAGCACACGCACAATGGGGACGTTTCTGGGTTTGCCCTGCTTCTCCAATGGCTTCGGTGCTCACGCTTCCCGGTCTGTTCACTCGCGCTCCGTGACTGGTTCTAGTTGGTGATCTCAGGTGGCTCCAGAGATTTCGAAATGGTGCCTGGCAGATACTGGCCTGCACACGAGTGTGTGTGTCTGCGTGTCTGTGTGTGTACACCACGTTGTTGTGTGCCATCAACTTGGAACAAGCGCCTCGCTGGCCCTCCAGTGAGTTTCAGAGACTGTAACTCCCACGGGAGGAGACTGCCCTCCTGAGCAGCTGGGGGGTGTAAAGCACACACCTTCGGGCTGGTAGCACCACACCTTGCCACCAGGCCACGTGCTTTCTCTGTCTAAAACTTAAATAAAGAGCTTCTCCATAAACTAGATTTCTAGTATCTTTTATGATTTCCTAACATCAGGTCCACTATGGTCTGCAGGGGTCCTTCTAGACAAGGCCAGCTCCACACAGCTCTCTGAGCTCGCCCTGTCACCGGCCCGAGTTCTGGAAGCCTCTGAGTCTGTAACCCGAGGGCTGCTCCTTCTCTAAGGCTCCGTTTTCCCATCTGTCAAATGAAAACTCACTTCCATTGTGTTGATTCTGATTCCCAGAGTCCCAACAAGACAGATTAGACCCACCCCATGGGGTCTCTGAGTCTGTCATGTCCACAGAAGCAGACTGCACGCCTTTCTGTAGGGTGGGCGATGCTGGGCTCGAACCACTGATATTTCAGTTAGTCTCAGGTGGCCTAGAGGTGACAAGCTGCACTGCAATCCCAAAGGCATGTGGTTCAAATCCACCAGCTGCTCCCTGGGAGAAGGATGGGCAGTGTCCTCCAACGTGACTTACTGCCTCTGAAAACCCACAGAGGGCCAGCTAGGGGCTGACTCTGACTCAACAGCACACAACAACAACATACCCGCCACTCAGCACCACCGGGCTCCTTGTTGATGAAAGGGTTCGCTAACCAACCACTCACTGTCCTTCTGGCCAGGACACTTTGCTCTCCGATGATAGCCCAGGCCTGTGCTTATAGCTGGGGCGGTGGGCAGAGCTGTGATGGGAAGGATGGGTCTCCGCAGTGGGGTCTGCTCATGGACATTCACGGGATCCCAGAGAGCGGGTGCCCCAGAGGGAAGTGAAGACCACCCCAGAATAGTGCCCCCCCTCCTTGCAGGTCTTCCCTGAGCCCTTACCTGTTGCTTCCGGCTGTCACTACATGGAACCAGGGTGACAGGACAGCCCTGCACGTCCCCTTCGGCCTGACAGTCTGCGCAGAGGCCAAGGGCAGCATTGTGGAGCTGGAAGTGGACATCCACACAGGAGTGACTCCTCACCTGCGTGGTCAGCAACCCCCCACCAGGCAATGCTTTGTTCTCTGCTCCCTGGGGGCCGCTTCATGGTGCCGTGTTCCAGCCATTTAAGCAAGTGGAATAATGTCGTAGCCCCTGGTCTAAGAGCCAGGTCTCCTGAAGGGTGCAGGCCACCTCTGTCCACAGGGATAGTTTGGGACAAGCCAGTCAGTCCTTCTAGGGCAGATGTGGAGGCAGGGTGTGGACTCAAAGGTCTCTGAGGCCCCGTTGAACTAGTGATTGGCCAAGGTTAATAGATCAGAGGAAGAGCTAGAAGCCTTTCTGACTCTATCTCCTCTCAGGAAGCTCCCCTTCCCACCCTGCCCCCACCCTGGCATTTCCTCCCCACCCCCTCTTGCCTTTCCAGAGAACCTGGGCCTGTGCTCAGATGGGTACAGCTCGGGGTAGACGCTGGCCAGAAACCAGGGGAACATCCGACAGCCCAGGCTCCTCTGTAGCTGTAGGCGCTCTGCGCAGTCTGGCCTCTCCGCCTGGGGAGGAGAAAGACAGGCTGGGTGAGGAGAAAGGCCAGCTCCTTCCTTCAGGGCTCAGGGTGGGAGGGGGCAGGGGGCAGGTGGGCTGGGACAGCGTGAGGGCCTTGGCTCAGGAGAAGAGGGGCTGGAAGGGGCGGAATAAGATGCGTCTCCAGGGACACAGTTGTGGAACCACCGTGGTGACAGGTGGGCCTTTGCTGTGTGATCTCACCCCTCTCCTGCACCCCTGAAACCTTCAGTCTACAGACTATAGTATCTTTGCTGACTCTCGTGGAAGCTGGCAAACAGACTTTACACTTGGTGTCACAGCATCAAGAGGGGCCGTCTGGAGGCAGGAACTGAACAGAACCAGAGGCAGCTGACAGGAAGGAGATGGGGCGCTGGGGGGCTGAGGGTGGGAGCCAGTCAAGTTTCTCTTTTCTTCTGGTGCCCACATTTCCTCTTCAATGGGATCATTGATCATCCATTCGGACCACATTTCCTGTGGCCCGGACATCTTCCTTACAAGGCAATTTCCCCGGGAAGGATATCAAAGTGAGTCCTTAGCACTGAAGTATAAATTAGCTCCTGGTTGCATTAGTAAGATGCAGAGAACCTTACTCAGGAGTTTAGGGCCAAGTTCTGGGTGTTGTCAAGGAAGAAAGAGGTGTTATGGAGGTGGCGGGAAGAAAAGAGAGAACTGCCTTCTAGGCTTGGGAGAGAGCGAAAGGATCTAGGACAGGAAGACCACGTCAGAGATTCAAACCGGATGGTCGCCACAAAACCCAAGAGATGGGCTGCTTTCTCCTCCAACAACATGAAGCAGAGACATTCCGATGAGCTCACGGCGGCCTTGGGTTCAGTGGCGACATCCCTGTGGCTCCCCTAAGCTGGATTTTTGTACCAACCTAGAAACACTTCTTCCTGTGAGCCCCTACCTTTCCTGGTGTGGCCTCAGCTGGCAAATCCACCCACCACTTTGACTTCAAAGGAGAGGTCAGTCATGCTGAGAGAGAAGTCCCTTTCTGTAAAAGCCAGTCAGATGACCACAGCAGTGACCTTCCAGTTCCAGCTTCTGGGCTGTGCAGGGTAACTAACTGTGTCTCAAAACCCATGTGAGGGTATCGGAGGGGGTGAGGAAGGAACGAGATGGACTGAATTTCTTCCAGCAAAATGATTCTTAATGACTTCAATTTACAATAAATGCATATTATTAAACACTCTCAGGGAGGGAGAAATGGCTTTGAAATATTGAAATCAAGGTGCATAATAGGACATACTTAAAAAACATGAATTAATGGAATGCTGTAAAGAAAAAAGGGTAATTCAGAAAAGGGTCAAGTTCTTGGCCACACTTGCTCCTTTCCCGACCAGGAGGGGGCATCATTCTCCTTGTGAAAACCGTCAAATCAACTCCAGGAGGCATCTGCAGGTCAGAGAAGAGACTTCTACACTCACATTCAAGTGGATATTTTAAAAAAAAAAACAAACTTGTGGTTGTTGTTAGGTGCCATCAAGTTGACCGTGACTTGCAGCAGCTCTATGAATAATGGACCTGCACCATGTCCTGTCCTGTCCTGTCCTGTCCTGTCCTGTCTAGTCCTGTCCTGTCCTGCCCTCTCCTGCGTCAGGCTCCCCATCTCTGATATGCTCCTCTCTATGGTGGTCGTTACTGGGTCAGTCCACCTCGTCAAGAGTCTTCCGCTCTTTCTCTGTCCCCCTTTTCCCAGCATGGTGTCTTTTTCCAAGGACACAGCATGTCCACAGTACACGAGACCATCTTTGGTTCCCCATCCTGGTCCCTAACAGGCGCCCTCATTGTACCTCCTCCAAGACAGACTTTGTTCTTCAGTCATTGAGACGTCAAGTACTCTTCGCCGGACCAACACCTGACCTTACAGATTTTAGGAAATAACTCAGCCTAATATTATTTGGTACTTTATATTTTTACAAGCGTATTCACACATTTAATTTCATTAGATCCTCATGAGAGCTCTTGAAATAGGTGTTCTTCGATTTCAAATTACTTTCCCAGAGTCAGTAACTTCTCAACGGTCAGAATCAGAAGTTGACATCTGACTCAGTCATTGTTCGTCTCACCTCAGTCTCAACCTTTCAGCTCAGTAATCAATCATCCGTTCTAAGAATGAGGACTGAGCACCTGCTCTGCACCTGGGATTCCACCAGGCATTGAAAGGAGGTCAGTGATGAGCGAAACACATGTTCTCTTGTCCTTGAAGGTCCTGGGGACATTTAGTGAGCCCCTTCTGTGCTACAAGCATAGCCCTGCCTCACAAACTCAGTTCCAGAGGATCACGGCTCCATGGGATACCAGCCATTCCCGGAAGGGGCGTGGTCTATACAGAGTGGTCTGATGGCTTTAGTGTATTATTTGTTGGATGGTGAACTGAAAGGTCGATGATTTGAATCCCCCAGCTGCCTTGAGTCAGAAAGATGGGCAGTTTCCTCCTACGAAAGTCCGCAGTCTCTAAGCTCCAACGGAAGGTCTCCCTGCGAGTTTGGGGAGGGTTCGCTTGCAGACATTGGGACACAAAACCCAAAGTGTAAGGCTGAGGCCAGGTTCCTGGTGCCGTTGTAATTCCAGTTCTAGCTCCTTCAGACTTCAGCAGCTCACGGTCCTGTAGAACTTCCATTTTCGAGCTAATAGAATGAAGGACTTGGCAGAGCACAAAGAAATATTTTTTAAAAAATTCTAATCGTTATTGATCTCCTCTTTCTCAGTCTCCCCTCAATCCCTGCACTGAAACAGATGAGGGAAGAAAACTGTTTAAAAGGGATGTGATTAGGTATTACTGTCATGAAAAGTGTCCAATAGCCAGGGGTCCAGAGTGAAGGCTGCACCGTGGAGTGGACTTGCCAGGAGGGATTGTATAAGAATGAAAGAATTTTTCTTCTACTTTTCAAAGAGAAGAGCACATTGGGGCAGAGGTTGGGCAGGAGAAAAAGTACAACAACGAATGAATGGAAACCCTAGGTCTCTGTAAACTTTCATTAAAATTAATAAAAAAAATTCAAATCAGCAATTGGAGCTCCTGATTAAAACAAGGTTGGAAGAGGAGTGGCATCCAATTCTGAAACAGCTTGACTCCGGAAATTCTATGAACCTGGAGAAACGACGAAAGTTATACAAGTGTCCAGGTCTTTCATTCATAGGGTCACTACGAGTCGTCCACCACTTGACAGCTCTTAACAACAACAAGAACAATCAGCAATCACACAAGCAAATTGGCTTTCCTCAAAAAGAGATGATTTGGGTTCTAAAAGGCAGCATCACTGAAACTGTCAAGTCCTGCGATTGTCTGGACCCAAGTGTGTGTCATCCAGCTCTGTTGGCTTAGGGGTAAGGAGCTGTGCTGTTAACTCACAGGCACATGGTTCAAATCCATCATCTGCGGCTCTGGAGGAGGACGAGCGGCCTCCTCCTGTGTGATTTCCGGTCTCTGGAAACCCCACTGGGGGGTCAGTCCTGAGCGGGCTCTGACTCAACAGACGTGCGTCTGAGTTTTTGTTCTGTTTTGATCGGCAGCTGTGGTGAGACTGTGATTCTGTAAATCGTTTCCATGACTTTGCTTTTAGATGGCTGCCGTCAACGCACCACGCTCCAGTCGAGATTGTCTGATAGAAGGTGCACTGAAATGATGCACATTTAGCACTTTTTTTATAAAGAGTCCTTTTTCAATGCGATCTGCGCAAACATTGATCAAGTGCTCCCTGAAAGCAAAAGAGCAGGTGCTAAACAGATGTCTGGAGAAAGATAAAAAAAGATGCTTTGACCAACAAAATAAGAAAAAAAACCCAAAAGCCAGTCGTTTAGATATACAAGTTCTGTGGCCTCTCCTGAGTTCTGGAGAAGGCAGGCCTGCCAGCTACTCTCCGCTAATGTCAGAGAAAGGCTTGACTCAGCCTGGCCTCTCGGGCCACAGAATCTCCACCCATCACTACTCATCTCCCTCTTAATCATCCAGCCACGGTCAGCACCGGCTCACTGTGTGAGAGTCCTTCGTGAGCCCCTCTGAGTGCTGTTTTCAGGAGGGTCTGAGGGGACTATGAGTCACTGTGGCCCTGTCAACAGCAGGTCTGAGCCCTGCCCTGTCCTGTCCGACTCACAGCGGCCCTGTGAAGAGCAGGTCCAAGCCCTGCCCTGTGCTCCCTCACCTTCTCCAACATGCCTAGAAGAGACCCCGTTCTCTCGGCCCAGGCTGGAAGTCTGTCCTTTCAGATCCCGGCGTCAGGCTCCCTCCCCAGGAAGAAGCAGTGGCTCCGAGAGCAAGGCCTCGTTGGGGGCACGGTGTGTCAGCCACAGGACGACTGGGGCCCTCCTTTGATGAAACACATCCTGCCCACCACCCTGTGGCCGACGGGCTCTTAGGAGATGTCCCAAGATCCCTGTGGGTCCCCAAATCCTGCCTCAGAGCCCCGTTCCGAGCACAGCAAACATGAGTGTGGCCCCCCATATTAAGTTTAAGTTTAGCATCTAACAAGTCACTCATCAAAACCTGAGTAGCTGGTGACAGGTCAGCCAGGCTCCACGCTCTTGGACACTGCATTCAGCATTTGCTTTTGACTCTGTACGTTGCTTGTCTTTGCACTTGTGGTGACCCCGTGTCTGGGCTGACGTCTCTGAGTCCTGTGTCCAGGGTGATGGCTCCCAGTGGCTCCACCCTACCCAGGGCCCCTCTGCTCCCCTCCCAGGGGACTCTAACACAGAACCGCAGGCTGGAATCAGCAGTGGTGACCTCAGAGATGCTAGGAGAGGCAGGGATGGTACCATCAGGACAGGAGAGGCACCTCCACCTGGCCTCCACTGGTGGTCAGCCAGCCCTCTGCTTACCTGGTTCAGGGACAAGGCTTCAGGGACATGTTTGTAGAAGGTTTCTTTGAAGGACCCCAGCCAGGTCTCAGCAATGCGGACCTTGTCCCGCAGGGTGGCTTCCTGGTCCAGCGGAGGCCGGGGGTCCTGATTTTGGTAGAGGAGTCCCACCCTGGAGCAGGGCAGGATCTCGACGGAGCCACCACAGAGCCAGGCCTGCCATGGTGGGGAGAGGGGGCCGCATGTGAGAGGCTAACAGATGGGAGGTTGTGGGAAGCATGGCAGGCCATGGGGCACAGGCCTGGGGTGAGGGCAGGACTCCAGGTGTGGCCTGGGAGTGGCTGGGAGGGTGGAACACAGGCCTGGGGAGAAAGGCCATTGGCCAGGAGAGCCGGGGGAGGGCGAGTGGGCTGTGGGCAGCAAGGTCTGGGTACCCACCACATGAGTCTCCCTGACACTCACTGACGCCAGCTCACAGTGCTGGCCAGCTGTGAGGACACCCCTGCTCACAGAGGTGTGCCAAGGCCCAGGGCATCCCTAGTGGCCAAGGAGCCACTACATGTAAAACATTTGTGGTAAAGAGGAGAGCAAAGTCCCCCCAAATGCGCTCTCCGCAGATTCTCCCACCTACTCCCGAACCTCTGACTCTGTGTGAGAGAAAGCTTTTAATTCCCTACTTGAGGATAAAGAGCGAAATGAAAGAAACTCCAGGATCGGTTGCCACGAATGCATTGGCTGTGAGGCCGGGATTCCCACGCCGTGTACCCAGGTGGCCCGGGTGGCACAGGGAATGCAGACCAGCTCCGAGGGCTTCTAGAGCATTAGGGAAACACAACTATATCTGGTGAGTTTGTGCAAACCAGAAGCTCGAAGTGTGGTTTCTACATTAGAAGCCACAGAGCATCTGACAGTGTGTGTCTTTGCCTAACTGGGCTGTTGGACATAGTTGTAATAAAAAACAAGCCCCCCCCACACACACCCTGAGTGAACGAGATTTGGGGGGCAGGTGTCTGATCCGAGGTCTGAGGGGCCATGCCCACCAGGGCCTCAGTTGCTGGGACAAGCATTTAGGGCATTGCTTGGTCCTAACGAGGTATAGACTCGAGGTGGATCACCGAGACAGTGGGGGTCTTTGTGCGGGGACTCTACTGAGACAGCATGTTAGCAGCAGTCAAGGGAGCCCTGAGCACGTCCTGGTCTCTGGTCTGTAAACTCTGCTGCAGATTCTACCATCATCACTCACAGGTCTGCCGTAACAAGTGAGTGGTGCCTACACAGGAGCATTTGCTGGGATTCAAACCCCGGTCTCCCACAGAAACCTCACACCCGCTGCCCTTGATTGCAGCTCGTGGGAACCTTTACAGGAGGAGAGACCCTGCTCATCTTTCTCCAGCAGAATGTTGGTGAACTTGAGCTTCCAACCTTTAGGTTAGTGACACAACGCACTACACACCATGCCCATGGGGCTCCCTCTACCGCTGGGTGCCTGTGCCCTGCACTAAGCTGTGAACGGCTGCTAACACAGCTTCCCTGTGCATCTGGACAGTAGATGCTGAGAGGGGGGGGCGAGCGGTGGGACAGGGCGTTAGAAGGATGGGAGAGGGGAGCCCCGGCACATGAGCAAGTTCTTTGTTGCAGCCTCACCCCAACCAGTGATGGTCCCCATGTCACCTCCAAGCCTTGGCCACACCCTGCGGCCCAGAGAGCGCCCCCCCACCAGCATCGTCCCACCCCCCAGGACATACCTTGAGAGACAGCTCGAGGTCCCCGCCATCCTGCTGTGACAGGTGAGGGTCAAAGCCTCCAGTGTTCTGGAAGTGACGCCTGTCCACGGCCACGACCCCACCTGGCACCACCGGGCTCCTGGGCGTGGGAAAAGGGGAGAGGCTCAGCGGCCAGGGCTGGGGCTCACCACGTGGGCGCCCAAGGCCTGAGGGTGGTTGTTCCACAGAAGAAGGCACCAAGGACATGAGCTGTAATCCAGGAGGAGATGGACAGATTGTCCTGTGCCGGTAAGTCAGAGCTGACCCTCCAGTGGGTTTTAATAAATTATACCAGAGGAAGCTACTATTTTTTTTTTCTCCCAAGGATCAACTGGTAGATTCGAACCTCCTGACTTTGGACTGGCAGCACAGCCCATTATCCGCCAGGCGACTGGAGCTCCAGCTGCATAGCTGACAGTTGAAATGTAGAACAATCTTGAAATACAACCGCATGAGAAGAGCCCGTAAAAGACGTGGAGACTTAGGGGATCTTAGGGAGCTCCAGGGGCCGAGTGGGTGAGACACTGTACCACCCAAAGGCACACGGTTCAAATCCACCAGATGCTCTGTGGGAGAAAGATGGGCAGTCTCCTCCCGTGTGCTTCCCAGCCTCTGAAAACCCACGAGAAGATCTGCCGTGAGTCAGTTCTGACCTGATGGCACACAACAACAACAACAGCGTCTTGGCATTCACCTGGCTAAGTTCCTCCTTTTTACCAAGCTGCTCTCTGAGGCCAGGGCGAGTCCAAGGCTCTTAATACCTGGTGAGTAGGAGCTGCTTCGAGTTCCCAGTTCCCGCCTCCCCACAGTCCTCTGCAGCCCCCCTCAGATCTTTCTGGAAGAACATTGAATTCTCACAATAACACACAGAGCTGAGGGTGTGGAAGCCTCATCTACTCATTCCACTACCCTGTGAGGTGGGTACTGCATCACCCCAGTTTACTGATGGGGAAACTGAGGCACAGGTGAAGTTGTTCACCAGGAAGCTGGTAGGGTCAAGGGAAGCTCCCCATCCTGAGGGGGCGTACGGAGGCGGGCTGGGTGGGGGCGTACCTGATGGGGCTGATGGGGGACTGCAGGGCGCTTCGCTCACGCCCCGGCAAAGGCTCCCAGTGCACGTCCAGCCTCCAGTCCAGCACCCCCCGCTGCAGGTCCTCGGACGGGTGATACCGGAGCGTCTTCCAGTCAATCACGTCTATGACCGGGGACACCACCCTCCTCCTGAGAACAATGGTGGGACCGGTAAAGGCAGGCACGTCATTCAGTCACTGGGGGGGGGGAACATTAGCCACGTAGGAGGGGGCGCTGGGGCCCTGGCCCCAGGGAGCTGTGCAGCTGACCCAAGGCCCAGCCTCTCTGGAGGTTAGAAACCACCGCTCTGCCGGAGAAAGCTGGACAATCTCCTCCTGTTCACGGCCTCCAAGACCCCTCTGAGGGTCAGCTTCCACTCGGGCACAGTGAAGGGGGCGTGAGACTGACCTATGGGTTGGCAGTTTGAGGCAGTCTAGAAGTTGTGGGTGCTGTTGTCTCTCTCCAGTCCCGTCCTGGTCACAGCCGCCCTGCGGGCAGCACGTCCAAGCCCTGTCTGTCCTGCACCACCTCATCAACTCTGATCTGTCCAAACCATCGTTACCGTCACTGCGTCAGCCCGTCTCACCGAGGGGCTTCTCCTTTTCATCTGGCCCTCCACCTTTCCCAGCAAAATGCCTTTTTCCAAGGACTCTTGTTGTTGTTGCTAAATGCCATCGAGTTGTAGACAACCCATAGCGACCCTATGAATGAAAAACCTGAACACTTGTATAACTTTAATCATTTCTCCAAGTTCATAGGGTTTCTGGAGGCAAGCTATTTCAGAAGTGGATGCCACTCCTCCTTCCAAGCTTGTGTTAATCGGGGAGTTCCATCAAACACTGTCCACCATAGGTGACCATTATCACACTTGACACATCAGTGTCACAGTGTTCAGTGTCACAGCAACCACGAGTTACCTCTGTACAGCAAATGGACAGACCAGTGCTATACCACTTAGAAGAATGTTTGAACAAAACCAGTTAAAACCAGGCCTGAGGGCTGCAGATTAAAATCACCCACCTTGGGCTTGGTAGCATCATTTTCTGTCCACTAGGCTGACAGAGCTCTATGTTGTTATTTTCCAAGGACTAGCCCCTCCTAAAAACATACTCAGATGAAGCCTTCCCATCCTTGCCTCTGAGGAGAACCCTGGTTGCACTTTCTCTGAGACAGACTTGTTTGTTCTCACAGGATAGTCAGCACTCTTCTCCACCACCACAATCCCAGGACACTTATTCTTCTTCTGTCTTCCTTATTAATTGTTAAACTATCAGAGACACAGGGAGCTTTCCTAAAGATTGAAGCCAAAACCCTGCAGCGCCGCTGTGGTCTGTGGCCCAGAGTCGCTGGGAGTGATGACAGACTCGCGGCTTTGGGGTTGGTGTTACTGCTGTTATTGCTTCAGCCACGTGAGCGAGGAGGTGTTTCTAATAAGGTTTGAGATGTGCTGCACGTATTAAAGAGATGCTGGATTTACAAGACTTAGTACTAAAACAGGATGTAAACTATCTCAAGAATTTGTATAATTATTCTGTAATAGTAATATATAATATTAACATTGAATATTAATGAACAACATATTTATGAAAGATTATAAATAAGATTACTTAAAATGTATTGATGTGATTCATTTAACCTTTTTCCTTTACTTTTTAGCATCTTTGCAATTATTGCTATGCATCAGAAAGCTGGATAAGGACTAGGGAGGAGAGAAGGAGAATTGTTGCCTTTGAGCTGTGGTGCTGAAAAAGAATATTGAATATACCATGGACTGCTAGGAGAACAAGCAGGTTCATCCTAGAGATGGTGAGACCAGGCTGCTCCTTGGAGGCAAGGACTCTGAAGCTTCATCTGACATACTTTGGACATGTTGCAACGAGGGACTTTGGAGGGGGACATCATGCTTGGGAGGGTGGAGGGACAGCGCAGGAGGGGAAAACTCTCGATGAGGTGGATTGATTCGGTGACTGGGGTAATCGGGATGGGTGTGTCAGAGGCGGTGCGGTTGGCTCAGGATAGAGCAGGGTTTAGGGCTGTTGTACACAGGGTCGCTATGAGTCACAAGGGACTCGACGGCACATAACAACAACATACTATAATATTAATATTATAATAGATATTAAATACAGTGTTGCTGTGTGCCATCAAGTTGGAGCCAACTCATCGCTGACCCTCCTGTGGATTTTAAGTAAATCACATGGACGGAGGTTGTCCATCGACTCCCCACGGAGCAGTTGGTGGATTTGAAGCATGGATCTTGTGTTGGTAGCATGGTTCCTTATCACTAAGCCACCCGTGTGAGTGTGAGTGTGAGTGTGAGTGTGAATGTGAGTGTGTGTGTGTGTGTGTGTGTGTGAGAGAGACAGACAGAGAGACAGAGAGAGAGAGACAGGGAGAGAGAGAGAAACAAAGAATGAGAGAGAGAATTCCCTTATGTGTGTGTATATGTACACATTTTGGGGGTGGGTGGGCAGAGCCCAATGATATGATCTCAGAGGAGGTAATATAAAAAATTTATACAGACCAGAAACTTCACCTTGTGCCCAAACAAGTGATCACTCATCTGTTGATTTGCCTAATAGTTGCCCCCTCCCTAGCCAAGAGGGATCAATCAATCACAGTTTTGTCTTGTCTGTCTCACTGGCCTGCTTGTCTGGCCTCTTCACTCACTCACTTCTAAAATCTGCGGTATGAAAATTGCCAAGTCAGGGAGCATGAAGGAGCTGGATTCCTGGGTGGAGACATGCCAGCCGGGGTGCGTCTATGCTCTGCTGTTTCCATCTCTGTACCACGCATCTTAGGGAGCTCTGGGAGCCAGGCAGGGGAGTTCTGTTGTCAATCCAAAGGCAGGCAGTTCGAATCCACCAGCTGCTCCTTCAGGGAAAGGTGGACAATCTCCTCTGATAAGATTCACCGCCTTTGAATCTGGAGGGTGAGCTAGGAGTCAGTTCTAACTTGGCGACAATGAACACCACACACCCCATTTATCTCAGAGGCAGCCCGCTGGCACAGCCCGGGCCCCTCAGAGAGGCTCGGGGGCTCCGGGGTTCAGTGCTCTGGCTTCATCTGAAGTTTGGATGATGACGTTCTTGTCAGCAGTCTGCTCTAATTTAGAGTCAAGGTCTTGAAAGCTTTTACTCCCTTTCTGGAGGTCTTCACTAGCTGACCTGAGAAGATGGAAATAACAGTATGAGAAGGAAACGAGGCTCCCCGGCCCTCTCCAAGCTCTGTTTCCCCTGGAATGAGCCAGGCAGACGGGATGGATTTGCCTGTTGGCAAAGCTTGCTGTGGAATTTCAGAATCTGGAGCCAGGGAAGCCAGTGACTGGATTCTGAAGAATGGTGTCAGACCTGTGCCATCTCAGTGAGCGTAACAGGCCAATAGAGACGTGCCCTCCAGTGGCCAGAGTTACTTCATCAGAGAATATGGAGGTGAGCTCTGCTTGCCAAGAGGGAAATCTGAAGTTTGTCCTGTTTTGTTTGATCTCACCACACGCTCAGGGTCAGAGGTAGAGCTGACTGTGATTACGGCGTCGTTCCTGATGCCAACACCACCACATCCTCCTGAGTGCCCTTAGCCCCTGGCTTTAACGCGTTACTCCCTAACCTCTGACCCGGTCACCACTGGGTTGATTCTGACAGGCAGTAATCCTGTAGGACAGGCTAGGACTGCCCGGTAGGGTGTCCAGGGCCATGTTTAAGGAGGCAAGTAGACTCATCTTCCTCTCACGAAGCGACTGGTGTATTTGAACTGGTGACCTTTAGATTGCCAGCTGAGGACTTAAGCACTGTGCCAGCAGGGCTCCTTCTAACGGGGTGCACACGTGATCGAGCGAGGGGCTCCTGGCGTGCACTTTGGGTGGAAATGAAGACCAGAGCATCGGAGGATGAAGTGAGTGGTCACGGTCACTTTGTCCTGTGGTTTTTTCATTCTCACAGACCATGGAAGCTGCCTCGCCAAGGTGGATTAAGTGAGGTAGCTGCAGTGTGTTGACTCAGAAAAGGCAACAGGTTTACAACACAACCCGTCCAGTCAGCTTTGTGCTTTATACGTGCAGATGCATCTGGTGTCCTTGGAATTGATTTAGAGCCGAGCAGCAAAGCCACCCTAACCCCAACCCCAGGAAGGAGTCGGAGTGTCCGCTGACATCATCACTCGCTCATCTTCTCACTCACGAGCAGAGCTTTTGTCAGGCAGACACAAGATCAAGCCTTCTTACAGCCTTGCCAAGTACCACAAAGTCAAGGGCTAGTATTTCAAAAGATAGATAGGGGCAGGGAAGGGCCACTGAAGATGTGGAACACACGACACCAACGGACACACGGATACATCTCAAAAGCTAACTGTAGCTTCAATTTCTCAGCCACGTTTTTTACTGAGATATAAACCGACCAGTCAAGCCGATTCCTATTCCCCTCATATGCTGAGCAAATTATTCCAGAAACTGTGAAGAAGAATGCAGCGTCAGGATTGGAGGAAGACTCGTCAACAACCTGTGTTATGCAGAGGACATAACCTTTCTTGCTGAAAGTGAGGAGGATTTGAAATGCTTGCTTCAGAAGGTCAAGCCTTCAACATGGATTACATCTCAATATCAAGAAGACAAAAATCTTTATCCCTGCATCCATAAGCAGTATCATGATTGTTGTTGTTATGTGCTGTCGAGTTGCCTGTGACTCACAGTGACCCTAATGTACAATAGTCATAAACCCTGCTCTATCCTGTGTCAATCTGTCTCTGACACACCCATCCTGATTACCCCAGTCACTGAATCCATCCACCTCATAGAGGGTCTTCCTCTCCTGGGCTGTCCCTCTACCCTCCCAAGCACGATGTCCCTTTGCAAGCACTGGTCCCTCCTTACAACATGTCCAAAGTATGTCAGACGAAGCCCCAGAATCCTTGCCTCCAAGGCGCAGCTTCGCTTCACCCTCTCCAGGACAAACCTGTTAGTTCTAGCAGTCCATGTTATTTTTGATATCATGATAAATAGAGAAAATATTGAAACTGTCATCAACACCCTTGGAACTAGCAGTCAGGATATCAGGAGATGTATTGCATTGGGCAAGTCTTTAGTCAAGGACCGCTCCAAATTACTGAGGAGCAATGATGTCAGATTGAAGATTAAGGTGTACCGGAGTTGATTCAGGCCATGATGATCATTTCAATTACTTGCTATGCATCTGAGAGCTCACACAGGTCGTTAGATGCTGCCCTATTGGTCCAGTCACCTACAGAGACCCACACCTATCTGTCTGGCAACATGTTTCCTTTTCTACAGTAAAGTTATTGTCCTAATAAAGCCATCAACTGCTAGCAGAAAGGCTGGGTGATCTGCGAGTGGCCAACTCTGTGACTGTTCCCAAGTCCCGGGGGCTGGTTTACCTGTCACCAGCTATTCTGCTGAGGAGGGGTTCCAGCCAACCCGGGTGGCACTCGCAGTGGGAGTCCATGAAGACCAGCACGTCCCCTGTGGCCCTGGTGGCCCCCAGCATCCGGCGCTGGATGGCGTCCAGCTTCCTGTTGCTCCTGAGAAGCTTCACGCCCTCCAGCCTGGCCACGTGTCCACTGAGAGCTGACCTGACCTGTCCTGGAATCAACAGGGGTGTGGTCAGATGGTGCCCAGCGCCACGGGCACACAGATTGTGATCCACCACTCTGATGACCGCCAGGTCCTGGAGAATCAGTGAAACAAACTAATTTACACAGGGGTGTGCAGACAAGTGGGAATGACACATAGGCGTGGACAGCTGAAAGGGACTCCACTCGTGGCCACACAAAGGCCGGGCAGGTGACGCTTTACATGGGCAAGTGTACCTCCTGTGACAGCTCATGCGCACAGCAGAGCAGAGGATGAGTCCAGTGGCCTAGTGGACAAGAAGTTGTGGTGCAACCTCAGAGACAGGGGTTCGAATCCACTGGCTGCTCTGTGGGGGAAGGATGGACCATCTCTTCCCATGTGATTTACAGCCTCTGAAAACCCCCCTGGAGGGTCAGTTAGGAGTCAGTTCTGACTCAAAAGCAATGGGGCTTTTAGTTGAGAGTAGACCCTACAGGGTGAGACGCTGTGTGAACGTGACCTGATCCCCAACGTCCTCGGGGAGCACATCACTGGTCATAAGACCTCAGACCCACGCTCTCCAGGGACGTCGGGGTTTATCAGGACCACACGGTCCATGAAGACTCTTCGGTAATAAAGCCCTCACACGTGAATCCCCACAGAGGGGTCTGCCTCCTGGGAAGCGGCCCTCAGAAAGGTCCCCAACCTGGCCCTTCTGCATAGAAATCCCCGAGGCCAGGTCCCCAAGGGTGGGGGTCTGCCCTACCTCGCTGACTGAGGTTCTCCACCAGCACGACCTCCTTCAGGACGGCCCTGGGCGCCGTGGCCAGGATGCTGTGCACGGTCCTCAGCACGGCCGCCCAGGCCTCGCCGTGGATGTCGAGGACGACGCTGGCTGTGGGCAGGCTGGCCGCGGGGTGCTGCTGCAGACACCTGTGAGGGACAGAAGAGGGGCTTGGGAGCGAGAGGACACCCCCACTTCCTCTCTCCCCTCCCGGGGCCTGGGCTGGAATGGCGAGAGACAGGAAAACCAGGTTACTGGAAATGAAGCACCCAGATGGAATTACTGGGAGTGTTGTCACAACGCGACAAATGCAGCCCAAATGCAGCCCCACGTCGTCAACAATACCTGTGAATTAACTGTTTTGTGGGAACCTAATTTGCTCTGCAAAACTTACCAAAAAGATGATTCAAATTTATTTTTTAAAAACTTGCTTATGAAGGGTTATAAAGCTTCATTCAAACTGGAATCCAAAGTAATTTCAGATCTAACAATATAGTCACAAACATCCAAGGCTGGCCGAGGGGTTATTCTATATTCACAGTGTCTCTATAACATGTACTCTATTGGGGCACCATGCATTTATTTACATTTTCGATTCTGTGAGTGGAGCGGTGGGAATGAGTGCGTTTGAGACGGCGAGGTTGGTACAGAATAGAACGGCATTTAGGGCTCTTGTACACAGGGTCGCTATGAGTCGCAAGCAACTCGATGGCACATAACAACAACAAAAACTAACAGTTTATTTACAAAGTTCGAATACATTGTTTTCAAGAATAAATTCTTTGTTTCCCTCATCCCTCCCATTGTCTCTCTGCCCCCTTTCCACTAGCTTATTTACAAAACTCGAATACAAATTCGAACAAATTCTTTCAATTTCCCTCACCCTCCCAACAAATTGTACAACCCAATGATTAATCCTCCCTCCCCCTGCACATCCACATCCCTCTGCTTCCAACCCCTTCCACCCCTCCAGGATCCTTATGTTCATTCCACAGTTTTATACAATATTTATCCTTGTGGGACTGACTTAGTTCCCTCAGCATAATGCTCTCCAGTCCCTCCCAAGTTAGGTAATAATTTACAAAGTCATTGCTCCTGCATGCTGCATAGTACTCGACTGTGTGAATGTACCATAATTTCTCAATCCATTAGTTTGTGGTTGGACGTTTGGGCTGTTTCTGTTTTCTTGTGATGGTGAATAATGCTGCTATGAACATCGGTGTACAAATCTCAGTTTGTGCCTCAGTTCTCATATTCTCAGGGTATATTCCAAGGAGTGGAATGTCTATGTTCAGCTTTTTGAGGAAACACCAAACTGCCTTCCAGGATGGTTGTACCATTTTACAATCCCACCAACAATGTGTAAGAGTTCCTTTCTCGCTACATCCTCTCCAACATCTATTCCTTGCTGCCCTGTTCAACTTCGCCACTGTTACTGGAGTGAGATGGTACCTCATTGTGGTTTTGATTTGCATCTCTCTTATTGCCAGTGGTTTGGAACATTTCCTCACGTGTCTGTTGGCGGCCGTGTGTGATGTTGTGATTTTGGAAGCTGTCCAAGAGCGTTTAAAACACTAGCAAGGTCAGGTTCAGCGGAACTTTCAGACTGAGAACAGGAAGAAGGAACTGACAATCTAATCCTTTCAAAAATTGGCCAGTGAAAGTTGTGTTCATTGCAGCAGTGTCTGAAAATAATGCTGGAAGTTTCAGTCCTCATTTGGAAAAGCTCAAAATGCAGCTGGGAAAGGGCTGCCCCCTCAAAGGGAGTCTACTCGGGCCGTGTGGTTGGCTCAAAGCCTTCACTCGCTGGTGTCCCATGACTCAAAAATGAGACTAAGCAGTTGCAAAAATTCCTTCTTAGTAGGACTCTGGAATATATGACATATGAATCCAGGGAATTGGAAGATGTCAACATGAAATGAGACACTTGAAGATTCAAATTCTAAGTGCTGTGGTCGTTACTCTTTTGGACCATCGAGTGTTCTGTGACTTCCAGTGACCATATGGACAACAGGTCTGAGCCCGCCATCTCCTGCTCCATCCGGATCACCTCTGATACGCTCAAGCCCACTGTTACAGTCACTGTGTCAATCCGTCCTGTTGAGGGTCTTCCTCTCTCGCTGCCCCCCCCCCCACCTTTCCAAGCATGCTGTCCCTCTCCAAGCAACAGCCTCTCCAAGCGACCTGCCACACCTATGTGAGATGAAGCATCACCGTTCTTACCTCTGTGAAGCACTTGGACTGAATCATCTCCAAGACTCATCTGTCCTTTGGCAGTCGGTGGGAGAGTCAGCAGTCCTCTCCAACACCACAACTCAAAGGCATCAATTTTCCTTCAGTTATCCTTGTTCAATGTCCAACTTTCACCTGCACAGGAAGCAATGGAGAATACCGTGGCCTTGACCAGGTGCACCTTAGTCTTAAAATGACATCCTTGCTCTTTAGCACTTTAAAGAGGTCCTTGACAGAAGATTTCCCAATGCACCACATCTTCTGATTTCTTGGCTGCTGCTACAATGGGTATTGATTGTAGATCCAAGTAAAATGAACTGGTATTGGCCATTTTGACTAGGACAGTCATACGGTCCATATGCGAAGAATGACAAAGAGCCATGGATGTTATCTTTATCATGAAAGGGGCAATTCAGCGTCCACCTTGAAGTATAATGCTGTCAGTGACAGACTAGCATCCATATGCTTACAAAAGGCCGGTCAGGACAACTGTGATGCATTAGCCAACAATGTCAAAGACGAAGACCACTGTCTGGTGACGCTGGGTCACGGACCTCCTCTCTTGGTCCTCACAGAAGCTTCTGGAACAGCTTGGACAGTTGGGCGCCATCATTTCCCTCCAGTATGGATGGTCCTGCGTGTGTCATTCGCTTCTTGTTTGTTTCCTTGCCCGCCAGGTACGGTAGCAACCACGGCTCTCACTTCAAGGGGCTGCTGGGAAGAGTGACCGGCCTTTCCAAGGCCTCACACCAGTGGCTGGCACATGGCAAGTGCTGCCTGTGTGTCTCCTGCCATTCCAATTCCCCCGGCATGAGGGGCGGCCCCAGACACACCTCAGAGGCTCCCGGCCCTGAAATGTGGGCTCTTGGTTCCGTGCTGGGCACAGCAGAGGGGCAGGAAGTGGGGCAGGGGGGAGGAAGGGCCAGAAGCAGGAAGGTCAACAAATATTGCATGGTCCGCTGTCCTCTCTAAGTGTGACTGTCCTTCTGTCACAGTGACCGGAGACGGCAGGCTGGCAACTGGTTCTGAGTGGGATCGACGTAAAAGCCTGTGAAGGATTTCTGAGGGCCCGGGGGGCTCAGGGTGACCCTCGCTGACAGGCCAGCCCCCTCTACATTACTCGGCAGTGAGGGCTGAATGCCACAGACAGGGACTTGGGATGGACAGTGCCCTGTGTCCAGCACCGGGGAGCCTTTGAGAGGGGCCAGGGCATCACGACTGTGTGTCTGGTGGGCAAAAGTGACCAGGAGAAGACCCCCAGAACTGTTCTGTGAGATACTCAGGGAAGGAGACGGCTAGATGGGGGGAGCCCCAGAACTGATCTCTGAGACACCCAGGGAAGGAGGCAGCCTAGATGAGGGGAGTGCCCTATTATGAGCTCCCAGAACGGGAGAAGTTGCAAGACGACTGGGGGCAAGGATGTGTCCGTCAGTAGAGCGCTCTGTCCAGCTGGCTCGGGCAGCTCGTGGCTCTCTGAGTGTCATTCCCCCTGTGCCTGGCTGGCATCCCTGTGGACTGCCCCTCCTCACTGCCCTCTGGTGCATAAGGAAGGACACTGGGTCATATGGTCAGCAGAAGCTGTTCAGTGACCCCCTTCAAGAGGTGGCCAGGGCATGAGCCTCAATGTCGTGCCTGAGACAAGTTCTGCAGGGAGTGGGACCAGAACAGGTGCATGTGGGATGGTTTCAGCTCAACCACACACAGAAGCAACAACAACAAGCCCCTAAACAATGAGGAAACAGGTGTCTGGCTGTGACAGTTATCCCCTTATGACGTTTCTGCTACAGCGGCCCTAAGATCTAAGTCAGGCAGCAACAAGGATTTGCCCCGCGAGGCTGACCAGAGGCACAGGATCTCTGTCTGGACAGTTAGAACCTTCCAGATGTTCTCGCTCAAGCAGTTTGAACTTCAGACACAGAGGACTGGCAAGCTGTTGACGCAGACCAGAAACCACCTGGGCAGTCAGGCAAAGAGGAGGTCACAGAAGCCAAGAGGTAGCTTGGAGCTCGGGTGTTAATGTTCACCCGCTGAAATCTCTGTGGCGAGCTTTTCAAAGTGCAGGTACTGGCTGGAGGTTGGAGGAGGAGCGTGGGTTTCGGCATCACCGATGGATGGGCAGTGACAAATGACAGTGGGCATGACAGAGATGAGGAGGCACAGGACAGGGCAAGGTTCAGATCACCAACAGAACTCTGGTGGGGTGGGGAGGTGTTATACAGTTAATGGAAACGTCAGCAGTTCGAATCTACCAGCCTCTGGGGGAAGATCAGCCGTTGCCTCCCGTAAACAGGGGCAGCTCTCAGAAGCCTGGTGGAGGGAAGCTCAGGCCTGGAACCAACCTAACCACAGCTGGAGTGGTTTCTGGTTGACAAGCTCATGTGATGCACCAGGCATCTGGACCACAGTTTGAGTAGAGGGAAAGACCACAGTAGGTGAACTGTCCACAGGGTAGACTTGGCCAGGCCGCCACCACTAGGACTCACAGCGCCCTGTCTCACCAGAGCCCCGGGTCAGCATCTCCTTCCCGTCTACCACCCCCTCTCCCTAGGGTCTCAGCTGGCCAGCTTTAGTTCTGTGACTTCCATGCAACCATAGAGCAACATCACCACTTGAAGCAAAGGGAGTATCTTCTGTTCCTTTTTCTTGGGGCTTTGAACCCGTTTGTTCTGGTTCTACTCCCTGCTGATGATTCATCTCTGCTGAATCAGAATCTACATTTCAACAAATTCTCATCACGGGACCTGCTCACAGCGACTGTGCCCCACTGCCCTCGAGTCCATTGTGACCCTGCAGGGCAGACTGGATCTGCGGGAGGGCTTCCGAGGCTGCAAATCCTGAAGGAAGTGGACTGCCTTGTCCTTCTCCCACTGGGCAGCTGGAGGCTTCACAGAGACGGATCTTTCGGTTACGAGTTGAATGCCTTCACCCCTGCGTCCCCAGAGCTCCTATTCTGGTTTGAGGGGCCATTTCCCCTCACTGGGATCAGCCATGCAGAACCACCAAGTTTTGCTTTCTTTCTCCTCCTCCTGCCTCCCCCAGGGCCAAGCCCACCTTCTCAGGGTAACTGACACCTGCCTGGAGGTGGAGCTCACCCTCCGGCAGGGTTTCAGAGGCAGTTAATTGCATGGCAGGAGCTTACCCAACTTTCTCCTGGTGGATTTGAACTGGCTGCTCTCAGGTAAGCAGCGCAGCACCCTGGAGACAATGTCACTGCAGCTTGCCTACATGCAGTAGACACTTCTTTTTTTAATTATTTTATTATTTTTTGTTGCATGTACCGTCATATCAGATCTGACTGGTACAGGAGAAAATTGTCCCTCCTTCTCCGGCAGAACATCTGGTGGATTCAAACAGTGTACCTTTGGGATTGCAGTACAGCTTCTTGCCACTAGGCCAACAGAACCCACTTCTTAGGGGCAGGTTTCTGTCTTTTTCTTTTTTTTAACATTCTGTTTTTCAGATGAGGTTGTAAAGTGGTGAGCTGGGCTCTGTCAGCCTGGAGGGGATGGGGGAAGATTGGCTGGCGCCTTGACATTCAAGGCCTTTGACAAGTGTCCTGAACTCCTGCCTGGATGGGAGGCAGAGCGGCTCACCAGACCAGGGCCAGCAGAGGGCACCATGCGCCTCCAAACGGGGCAAGAGGCTGGCGACAAGCTGGGAGCCAGGGACCCGCTTCCAGTGTCCCCTGGGACGGAGCAGGTCATCTGAACGCAAGAGGGACTGTGTGAGACCTCTGAGGCCGAGAACTCCTCCAGGGGGAGGCCTGGTCAAAGGGGTCCAGTGTAGTGACCCCAGAGGGGGAGGGTCTGGAGAAAAGAGACATTGAGACAGGGCACGTGTGTGCACACAGGGACACGTGTATGTCTCTCTCTCTCACACACACACATGATGCACCCGCACATCACACCTGTGTCAGACACACCACAGAACACACACACACACACACACACACACACACACACCACACACACACGCACCAGAGGATGGACATACATGCACTACGCACCCCCTGACCTGCACTCCATCACATGTGAAATACACAGCACCTTTACTCCAGTACAACCTGCCACTCACACTAGTATAAAACATGTGCTCGGCCCGAGTTATGCACACCAAACACGTGAACACCGTACACATGCACACACACCTCAACAGCCCACATGTGTTTGTCCATTGTAACACAGGTGTTAAACACGACAAACACATAATACCATGCGCACTGCAACATGCAGGCACGGCACAAGTGAGTACAAACACAGGGTCACAACTCCTCATACATGGGCGTGTCAGGTTACATGTGCAGTGGACACGTGTACCACAGCCATTACACGGGCACCACACTTCAAGACATGCACGTACTACATAACCAGCACGCGTTCCATGCACAGATCAACTCCACACACACAACACACGTGCACAAGCAGACACAGTGCACCCACAGATACGGGTGTTTACAACTCCCTTGCACAACACGGGCGCACTATCCCACCCACCTATGGACCCCCTTAGTAACCAGAAACCATCTCCTTCCAGATTGTCTCTTATCGGCAACGTAAAGAGACTCATTCCTGCTTCTGACTGCCGGGAAAGCAGAGGCAAACCCCCTTGCAAACAGCAGATGCATTCCTTCGTCCAGCAATCACCCTTTGGCTGCATGTTGGGCATTGGGACGTACAATACAGACTCCATCCAGGCTTCCATGGGGCCCCAGCATGCCAGAAGCAGGCTGTGACCGAATACAGTCTCAGACCACCAGCTGTGGTTGTAATGCTGTCCAGGAGTTAAAACTCCAGGGTCCAGAGAGAGCCTCCTCTGGGGTGGGCCAGGTGGCGATGGTGGAGAGTCTCTGAAAAGAACTAGGAGCTGCAGCTGGAGTCACTGGTCCCGACGAGGTGCAGGGAGCAGGGCATTGTCCCCGGCTGCCCCCTGGCCAGTGTCCAGGCCCCCGAAGATGAGGTGAGGTGAGTTTGGGAGACTGTAGGCCACGCCTGCCTCCTGGTGGGGGCCATCCCTGGGGTCCAGCACCGGTCCAGGCAGCACTGTATTCTAGCTCTGAAGTACCCCTTGCTCTAGTGGGCCTTTAAACCAGCTTTCCCTGGAAGGTAGCTTAGTGAGGCAGTCAAGGCTATGGGTTCAAATCCCTGCTTTGCATCCACAGTTGTGGGACTGCAGGAAACTCACCAGCCCTCTCTGTGCCTGATTTTTCAAACCATAAAACAAAGGAGAATACAGCCCCACTTTATAGATACTGCAAGTCATTACCTAAGTAGCTCTTAAATAATGCCGGCTGATATAGGACACCCACCACCCTCTACTGTCACAGGGACCCCCACCGGGCTTCCAAGCCTGTGAGATTTCTAGAAGGAAGCTTTCACCTTTCCCTGCCATCAGATCGAATCACCAGCCTTTCACTACATGCCAGGGCTCCTTGGTGCCCGGTGAGAACCACGTCAGTGTCAGCTGTGTGTGGTATTTGATCCGCAGTAACGCAGACACTGACAAAAATCAGACCATCACAATGACTGGGCGGCACGTTGGGACTTGGAAGTGAGGACTCCCTTGTAGAAACGCGGCTTTCAACCCCCCCCCCCTTCTGTATCTTTCATGGGAGTGACCAGAGCCCAGGCTGGGGAATGGGGTGAACAGCCAGCGTCCTCACTCCCTGTCCTTGGGGCTGTGGCCCTAGATGCAGGTCCTGGCCTCACCCACAGTTTCAGGGTGGGGCCTGAGAATCTGCACTTCCAAGGTCTCAGTGATGCTGCACCTGCCAGTCCAGGGCCCGCTTGGAGAACCAGCGTGCTGGGGATGTGGAGACAGGGCGCACAAACTGCATTTCTGTACCTGGTGGTACCCTGTCTCGGGGAAGAGAGAAAGCTGGGGTGTTACTTACAGCGGGTGCCGGGCCTCAGGCAGGGCCCTCCTCGTGGGGATGGGGGCACTGGGTGCCTCCTGGAGGTCACGGGGGTCGAGGCTGAGGGTGGTGAACTCATCTTCTTCAGAGACGTCCTCATCCTCCTCCTCAGCTCCCCAGTTCCTCTCTGGGGGCTGCTCCCCCAGGCCCTTGGCTGGCTGCTTGATGAGCTGGTAACTCCCGCCCAGCCGGCTCTGGCTCTGGTCCCTCTTGGCCCTGGGCGAGGCCACGGCCACCAGAAGCTGGTCCTCCCGCAGTGAGATGAGGGGAGGCAGCCCTTCCAGGGCCCCGTACTCCTGTGCCTCATCCTCGTCCTCCAGCAGCCATTCCTGGGACTCCCCAAAGTCCAGGCGGTACCCGGCCTCGGGGCTGTGGCCGCAGGTGCGGGCTGTCGCGGCCTCCTGCAGGTCCTGGGGGGCCGGGGGCAGCACAGCCACCAGCAGCAGGACGCAGGCCAGCACCACCAGCAGCAGCAGGAACTGCGCGCGCAGAGGTCCAGGCCCGTATCGCCTCCTCAGCATCATGCTCCTGGCACCTGCCAGATGCAACAGGTCATGTTCAAGTCCACGCTCCAGGGGCCTCCAGTGGAGCTCTCAGCAGAACCCTAGTTCCCGGCTCCCCTTGGGAGCTTTGTACCTCTCAGCCTGCTGCTGCGTTCTGCATGGCATTTGCAAAATCGCGTGCAAGACACTTCTACCTGCAGCCAGGAAACCTCAGGACACAGGTCCCAGCCCCGGCTCCCGCTCTCTCTGGGTGCCCTTGTCTGTTGCTTTCCACAAGCTCACTGATGAGGACTTCAGGGGGAAGAGTTTGCAGCCTCTGGTACCTCTTTTTTCTTCTGAGGGAAAAGAATTATTCCGTCTTACTCAAGTGTTTTATTGCACCCCTTCTCTTCACGCATGTTCAGGATGCTGGGAGATTTGGGGTGAGCTGGTGGTTCTCAGGCCCGCAGAGCTGACAGCTGTGGCCCCTGTGGATGCCTCCAGCGGGTCAGATCAACAGATGTGAAGTGGGGCAGTGCCTGGTCCCCTCCCACAGCTCAGCCTCAGCGCTCAGCCCTCTGCCAGACACAGCGGAGCCCAGCTCTCTCGCTCTCGGTCCTAACGCCCTCACTGTTTCCTCAGCGCTGGCACCATCTGAGGAACACACCTCTGTGGGGAAAGAAAAGGCCTCAATGCATCAAAACAGGAGCATCCCAGGAGTTCATGCTTGAACTTCGTGTAGGAAGAGCCCTTTCCCCTCCCCGGGGGGCAGGAAAGCGTGGTCTCTCCTGCTTTCACAACACTGCACACGTGATGTGGAGGGAGAAGGCTGCCGTCTCCCAGCCGCCTCTGCCTCCCAGAGGTGACTCAGCCACACTGGACGCTCCCTGGCCAGCTCTGAGGACTGTTGGCCTGGCCTCTCTGCATGTGACAGGTTTTAGGGGAGATGCTCTTGTTAGAGCCCCCCACCTGCTCCCACCAGGGCGGGTGAGTGCTTCCTGTTTGCTGGTTATCAAGGGGAACACACAGGGGACCAGCATGTTCCTTCTGGGATAAGTTACCTTCCTTCACCCAACAAGTTGAAGAACGCCCACTATGTGATAAACCGGGCTGGGGGCTGAGGCTGCAGAAATGAATAGCAGTGTGCCTTGTGGAGCTTACATTCTACACAGGGAGACAGGTAATGAATTAAACTGTAATAGTGAAACAGCATGGCTTTCCAAAGTAACCAGCAAGGATATGGGTTTAAAACCTAAGGAGCCTCTGATCCAGGCCACGGTGTTTTCAGTTGCTTCCTATGCATCTGAAAGTCGGACGATGAATAAGGAAGACCGAAAAATTCTTTCATTGTTATACAATCCCTCCCCGTGAATCAGGTAATGTTTTAGAGAGACACATGGCTCCAAAACCACAAACAATAAAAACAACAACAAGCCCAGAAAAAAATGGGTTCTGTCAAAAGGGAAAGACCTTTGGTTTTCAAAGGGAATCATCAAGAAAAGTGTAATCCATTCTATTAAAAATATTACAAATCATTGATCTGATATGGCGCTCTTATATAAAATGGAAAAGAATGTTTCCTACTCAATAACAAACAAGAAAAAATGCGAAGAAAGGACTTGAATATATATTCCTCTCAAGGAAATACCGCAATGGCCAACAAACCCATGAGAATATGCTCTTTCCCATCAGTTACTAGCAAAGGGAACTCTGGAGGCCGCATGGTAAGAAGCTGTGCTGCAATCCCAAAGGCCCGCGGTTAGAATCCACCAGCTGGTCCACGGAAGAAGGGTGAGCACTCTCCTTCCGTGCAATTAAACTGTCTCTGAAAACCCATTGGAGGCGGGACACAACAACTATAATTAGGCAAATACAAACCACGATGAGAAACCACTTCACACCAGCGAGGATGATTATCCTTTAAACAAGAAAACTGATGTTGGTGAACACATGGACCCATTCCCATGTCAGATGGAGTGTGAAATGAGGCATCGCTCACCTCTGAAAACTGTCTGACATTTTCTCAAAAAGGTAGACACGGGACTCAGCAGATCTACCCCTGGGTTTGTGCTCTGTTGTTGTTGTTGTTAGGTGCCGTCGAGTTGTAGACAACTCATAGCGACCCCATGAATGAAAAACCTGAGCACTGTTCATAGAGTTTCTGGAAGCAAGCTATTTCGGAAGTGGATGCCACTCCTGCTTCCAAGCTTGTTTTAATCGGGGAGCTCCACCAAACACTGTCCTCCATGGGTGACCATTATCACATTTGACACATCAGTGTCACAGTGTTTAGCATCACAGCAACCAGGAGTTATTTCTGTACAGCAAATAGACAGACCAGTGCTATACCACCTAGAAGAATGTTTGACAAAAAGCCCTAATTTGAACCAGGCCCAAGGACCACAGGCATACATGGACAGCCATGCCCAGGCAACAAGGAGCCACAGAGACCCTGGGTGGAGTCGTCCAAACAACCTGGCCTCCTTCTCCTCCTCAGTCCCTTCAGGGATTTAAGCCGTTTGCCTTAAACCCTAGGCCAAGTCTCAAGGGCCTCTCTCCTGGGGAGAAGAGCAGTACCACACTTCAAACACAAGCCCGAAAAAGCACATGACCCCCGAAAACTCGAGATTAGAAAATGGAAACCCTCTTCACGCAAAAACCTATGCGTGAATGTTCATTACTATTTATTATGAATGTTGACGATCATTATAAGTAACAGCCAAAAAGGAGACAACAACTCAGATAAGCTTCATCTGATAAATGGATTAATAAAAAGGGGTTTATCTGTGCAATGAAATATTATCATTGTTGTTAGGGGTCATCGAGTCATCTATGACTCACGGTGACCCTACGAACGACAGATCTGTCCTGATCTGTCCTCTGATACACTCAAGCCCACTGTTGGAGTTACTGTGTCGGTTCATTTTCTTGAGGGTCTTGCTGTCTTTCACTGACCCTTCACCTTTCCCAGCAGGACATCGTCTCCTAAGGACTGGTCCCTCTGACAACGTGCCCATGAGATGAAGTCTCCCCATCCTTGCCTCTGAGCGGCACCCTGGTGGCATGTCCTCCACGACAGACTTAGTATTTCAGGATTGTCAGCACTTCAACACCACAACTCAAAGGCCTGGATTCTTCTTCCATCATTTACTGTCCAACTTTCAGATGCATAGCAAGTAATTAAAATCCTATGGCTTGCATCCGGTGCAGCTAATTCTTTAAACTGACATCATTTTTTTTAGTGCTTTGGAGAGGTTCTTGACAGCAGATTTTCCCAGGGTAATGAGTCTTTTGATTTCTGGACTGCTGTTACCCTGGGTATTGATTGTGAATCAAAGTAAAACGATTAGTTGACAACTTCAATCTTTTCTCCATTGATCATGATGTTGCCTTTTGGTCCAATGGTAAAGATTTTCATTTTCATGATGTTGAGATGTAATCTGTCTTGAAGGCTATAGTCTTTGATCTTCTACAGCAAGCATTTCAAGTCCTGTTCACTTTCTACAAGCAAGGATGTGTCATCTGCGTAACGCAGGTTGTTGATGAGTCTTCCTCGAATTTTGATGAAATATTATTCCTCAGTAAAAAGGAGTGAAATCCTAATACACGCTAGAACATGAAGGAACTTTGCAAATATTACACTAAGTGAAAGTAGCTAGGAACTCAAGCTCACACACAGTAGTATCCTACTTCTTTTTTTAAAAAATTTTATTTTTATTATGTGTGTGTGTGTGTACTGTCAAATCAGATTTTACTGGTACAGGAGGAGATTGTTCCTCCTTTTCCCCTAAAGCATCTGGTGGATTTGAACCTTACACCTCTGGGATTGCAGTACAGCGTCTTGCCACTAGGAGTAGTATCCTATTTCTACAACAGGTCTTTAAGAGGTAAATCTACAGAGAGATGAAGGAGATTAGTGGTTGCTCACAGATGGGTGGAAAGGGAATCGGGGTGGGGACTGTGAAGGCGATGGGATTTCTTTTTAGGATTATGACCTGCACTGCTCTGTGATTATACTGAAAACCATCAGAATGTACAGTCTAAATAGATGAAAGTTATAATGTATGAATTATATCTCAATAAAGCCATCATTAAAAAAGGGGCCATTATAATTTATGAATGAGACTCCCTTTAGTGCTCTCTGAGGGGAAAAATTATGGATTGCATTTCCTTTTGAATTAATCTTTTGAATAGGAAATCTATGCAAATTAAAGTAATTTTATTTCTATCTCTGCCTAGCCACCCAAATTTTCTCTTGAAACAAAACCTTTTTTTAAAGCTTTTTCTTCGACATTAATTTGCTCAGAAAGTTCATCTACACTGTGTTTCATACTGTCCTTCATTCACATTGTATTTTATACAACATCCCCATTCATTATCTTTTATAAAATTAATCACCATTGGGCCCTGTCCACCATTATCCTGTCTTTTCCTTTTCTTTTATCCCTCTCTTCCCCACTCATCAAATTGTGTGACCCCATATTTCCCTCTGCCCATCCTCACCCATCTGCTCCCACACTCCTGCCCTTGGGTCCCCATACACATTTTTTTAGTTATCTATTTCCAAAATAATGATCTAATGCAGTATTTACCCTTATGAGACTGAGTTAATTCACTCATCATAATGCTCTCCATTCCCTCCCAAGTTATGTAGTAAGTTTCAGAATCAATGCTCCTGAGGGCTGCGTAGTATTCCATCGTGTGACTGTACCACACTGTCTCAATCCATTCGATTGTGATTGGACATGTGGGCTGTTTCCATGTTCAGTGAATAGCACTGCTATGAAAATTGGGACCCAGATTTCTGTGTCTCAGTTCTAATTCCTACCATTAGAATAGCAGAGTCATATGAATTTCTATGTTCAGTTTTTTGAGGAAACACCAAACTGCTTTTCAGAGTGGTTGTACCATTTTATGATCCCACCAGAAGGATATGAGAGTTCCTATCTCTCTGCATTCTCTCCAACATACAGTACTTGCTGTCCTGTTAAACTTTGCCACTGCTCCTGGCATGAGATGTCTCTCATTGTGGTTTTGATTTG